GACTTATACACAACCAACCACTCTTGAAGAATAACATAAACATCAAAAGTGCCTTTTCAACAATTAAGCAACCTGTGCTCAACTAATAAACTGTGTTAGCGCTACATTTTAAGCTATTTTACAGTCAAGTAGGTTTAATTTTTAGACGTGTGCAGTTTTATAGCTTTTAATCTGCTTCTTCACAAAGTTGAATTAACTAGTCGAGAAAAGTGATTCATGTGTACTATTATAAAGCCTCTACTTAGCGATCTTGTTGTAGAAGGGCATGTAGATTTGTTTAAGTCAGTTCAAAGTGTTGGCGTAGTGAAGTTGGTAGTATCAAAGTTCGTCAATGTGGTCGTCTTGAGTTCGACTCCGGTACGGTGTAAATAATTTGGTGGTGGTGGCGATTAATTTTATTCGCAGTAAAATAAGCTTAATAAATTCCTGCATCAACAAAAAAACGTAAACAATATTTAATCTGGCGTCAAGAGAAAACTGTGTAAAGTCTGTTCCAGTTAGTATTTGGCCGCTTCTTTTTAATTACTGTAGTGCATCTAGTTATCGTAGCAAGAAAAGTAGTGAAAATTTCATCAGGATTCATATAGGGTAGAGCGCTACTTCGTCGTAATCGTCCATTTCAGTTCTATCGATCAGAAAAGATCAATAGTATCAATGATTTCACCGTGCACAAATCAATAATAGGTTTGTTCCGAAGGGTTAGTTCATTAGCTACAACATTAATCCTATTAGAGCGCATTCTATGAGTATTTACACTCATTGTTCTCAAAACAAAAGAAGCGCTCCTAATGAATCCCCTTCCACGTAGAAGTGGAACATATGACCGAAAACTACGAGCGAAGGTCATAAGGGCAGTCCAAAAGAATCCTGGGATCTCCGGTCGTGATTTCGCGACCGCGACAGCACAGTTCAGCAAATCTGTATGTGAGAAGGTTTCCGGTCGTGCCATGCCAGCAAACATCCCAACAGGACGCTGAAACAAAACCTGGTTGCCGAAAACCGTGCAAGGAAGCTACGAGCAAGTTCTGACCAAGTATAACGGATGTATTTTACTGGACGATGAAACTTACGTAAAAATGAACTTTGGACAAATCCGAGGGGGTGACACATCTAAATCTCAATCTGGATGCTCAACAAATCTCACACTAGCGAATCGATCTTCGAAAAATCTTCTTTCATTTCTCACATCTACTTGCATCGCGCATCATTTTTTTTGCAGGAAATCTTCAGAATCGTCATCAATCTTCTTTCTATCTACTCAGCGTGCGTGCAGCTAACCAAAGCAAAACACATTTTTTCCTGTATTGTAGATAGAGTCGCTCCCCTCGGACAAATCTCGGGCCAAAAAATTTACTTTGCTTAAACGTAAGGGGGATGCTCCGGATAAATTCAAATTTGTCTTTGCAGATAAATTCGCTCGCAAGTTGATGATTTGGCAAGGCATCTGCAGTTGCGGAAAGAAACAAAGGTTTGCATCACTGGAGCGACTATGAATGGACAACTTTACAAGGAGGAGTGTCTCCAGAACATAATTTTGCCGTTCATTCAATCACACGAAGGTCCCGTAAAGTTCTGGCCTGACTTAGCCAGCTGTCAATACAGCCGCGATGTCATAGAATGGTATAAGCAGAATAATGTTGTTTTTTTTTTTTAGAAAAGTATAAATCCACCATATTGTCTAGATTTTCGTCCCATTGAACATTTTTGGGTATTTATCAAGCGCAAATTGAACAAATGTGGCAAAACAATCAAAACACCATCTGATTTGGAGAAGTGGTGGAAAAGGATGGTAGATGAGGTTGGCAGTACTACTGTGCAAGACATAATGAGAGATATTCAGCGAGAAAATTGAAAATTCATCCGAAAAGCTGACGAATAATTATTGTTGTATTTTTTCCTTAAAGCTAAATAGAAATCCTACAAAATGATACCTTTGCCGTTTTTGTACTTTATTTCCCCTTGGAGAAATGACCTAGGGGAAATGACGGCTTCGGCATGACAGACTATTTTCGGCAACCCAAATTGAAACACTATTTTCACTGGATTTTCTTACGAAAACACTTCGCTGGATGCATGCAAACGATTCTTTATGCTTTCAGCTTCAATTTGACTATATTTTTACCACTGAGAAAAAGCAATCTAGCAAGGTTTTCTTGAAATGCAACACACGCACTACAAATTGTAGCTGATTTCGAGTTGCCGATAATAGAACAGCAGATTTACATGCAGTTCAAATGGAACGGTTGCCGAAGAAAAACTGGTTGCCGACAATACTCGCTCTCACTAGAGAAGATTGGAGCTTTGTAAAAGCGTTTCAAAACAGTTTTTGACAATTCTTTCGACAGAAATTATTAGAGCAGCTGGCAGCAAAAGATTGTAAACAAACCAATACTGCATATGTGTGCGTTCCTTAGAGAAAAAGGCTATAGAAAGAAAGTCGCTGCTTAGGTTGCCGAGAATACGTAAATTCCCCTATTTTGTGCGACCAAATTCTAAATGGAACAGACTTTAGTAATTATTGGAAAACCGGGTAAAGGTTGAGTAAGCACCGTTCATGTTCAAACACAACTAAACAGCAGGATAACACCTGTATAGAAGCGTAAATAGATATACAATAAGAGTTTGTCCCAACCGTCACAACAGCCTTAAGTATCTAACTGAGTTCGCCAGATTTGCTTGTGTAGAGTTTGAGTAAAGGTTTCCACATATCGTATAACATTTGAATACAGCTTGAGGCTGTATAAATGAAATGAGTAATGCGTTTACATTGCGAAAATTGTTAGCTGGCGGGTCAGCTGTCTTCGGTTTTCTGCCGCTAGGTCGTCTGGGTCTCCTTGAATGACTTCACCACCCGGGAAATCGGTGAATGATGGATTCCCAGGTGTTTCCCAATCCATCTGTGGGACGCAGTCGGATTTTCCACGACAACGCACAAGATTTTTTTGGCGGATCTGCTCTTGCTCCGATGCCATCTCAATAACCACTTGACAGATTGTGATGAAATTCTGCCAGCATAAATATTACACTATTAACTAGTTTCAGTAAAAAAATACTACTTTGTAGCTGCGCCTTCACCGACTGAGCTAAAGACGGCTCCCAACTTCACCGGCCTGGTTAAAACTTCTCAAAATTCTGGAACTTACATAATTTGTGAGGTTTTGTGATTGGGATTTTCTTAGCATTTCAGGCTTATTTTTTTCAGAATGATCCTGGAGGTTAAAAAATTAAAAGATTCTGATTGTAATCTACTGTGGTAGAATATATAGAATAATTCAATCCACTATAATTGACAGTTCAGTCCCAAAATGATTTGAATCCGTTCAGTTATCCAAATAATCCACCATCTTTAGTTTAGAGTAGTTCCACGCCAATTAACGAAACGATTTAATTTTTCCCTCTCCGAGTTTCATGAAACTTCGCATAATTGTTCACTAGGGGCAATGAACCAAGATTGTGCTGGAATTCGGCCATTTTGACTCAGGCCTAATTTTCCAAAATGTCGTTTTCGAAAAAAATATAAAAATATCGTTAAATCTTCAATTACAAAAAAGTACATATCCTAGATATTTAAACTTATGTTTATTAAAATGCTTACTTTTCTGAAATGGACACTTCGTAATTGATCAAACTCTTAAAACTTCAACTATTGACTATTGAGTTTTTTTCCACAAAAATTTTAAATGTTTTTTATGCAGAAAATTGTTTTCTAACACATAAATGTTGAGTGAATAAAAGTTTATAAAGTTTACTAAAATTTTATGTTATACGATTTTGGTCATTTTTGAAGCGTCCATTGTGCCCATTTAAGGAAAATTAGAATTTTTGTAAGCTTTTAAATGAGCATTTAAAATATTATAAATGTATTTTTTTTTGTGAATGACGTTTTTTAAAGTGTTTTCATTTTTTGATAAAAATTTGTAATATTTTTTCAGCGTGTAGCAGCACATTTTGAAAAATTGGCGAATTTCAGCACAAACTTGGTTCATTGCCCCTAGCAAACATTATGCGAAGTTTCATGGAAGTCTAAGAGGTAAACTCTGTTATTTGTACTGTAATGCTTGGAACTGCTCTATAGTATTGGATACAATATTTATTCTACTTTGCCGAACATGAAGTTGTATAGATGCGCCACAGGCAATAATATTGCATATAATAAGGAAAGGGTTCTCGCCCTATCGTTTTACGTAGGTACTTAAATTTAGTTTTAATAATTCCGGTAATGCCTTATTCGGCACGATGCAAAACCATACTTACCTAGTGCCTTTTACGTTGATGTGACAAAAGAGTTCAGAAAAAGAGAGATTTGTGTTGCTACAAGCAGTCTAAAAACAAATCGGTGACAAGTCCAATGTTGCAGCCGTTCAAAAACTGGTTCACAACATATCCTCAACTGCTCGAATTTAGTCAAGACCCATGGATTTTCCCTTTTACCAGATGAAATATTTCACCCCACAAAACCTTCGATACACACCCGATTCATATCCTTCGAAACAGTACTCTCTAGCCGTGAGAGCCATGCCCTGAGCAAGAGCACGACGAATATCCTTTCGGACCACATGCTGCTCTTCTCTCCGGCTTCGAAAAGAAAACTTAACGAAACGTTCGTATCCCTACCCTACAACAGTGAGTCTTCCTCCTTCTCACCATAGTGAGCTAGCACACTTGTTCAGCTACGACTCGCCTGGCAGTCCCGCCGTGAGAGGAGAGTGTTTCGCCCGAATTTTCCTTTCTCTCACGCCTGCCGTATCCTACAGGAAAATTTCATCCCCTTGGACGACGACAATGATAGAGAGAGAGAGAGAGAGAATGAACGGGAGAGCGAAATTGCGTGTGCTGCATGTGTCGCGTTCGTTCTCCTGTCTCACGTGTGTGTGCCACTGGTAGACAATGCTGCCAGCCAGGGAGGAAGAAAAAAGGATGCTAGAAATTTATGCTGCCGTCCGTGTGAGAGAGGAGATTAGTCGGAGCTGGATGTTTCATAACATTGGTTCGTCGTCGTGTTCTCCGGTCCTGTCGTGTGAAGCTACGAGCGAGCTGTGCTGCACACTTTATTGATATATTGATATCGGTGACAAACCCAGGGGGTGGAAGAAGCTCATCGCCGCTTTTGGAAGAAGATATCGGTGCGTGTGATTTGAGGTGAACGAGAAAGGTGTAATTGATACGGCATTGAATGAAAGCCACCGATTTTGCGGTCGGAGCAAAGGAAAGCCGTGTGAATTGGAGCGTGATCAAGGATGTTTCCTTCGTTGTCGTTTTTTTTCCTGTGGTGAGCCGATTAACCTGAAGCTAATTGAAAGGTTACACCCTAGCCGTTGCTGCGGTTTTTGTGGCGTCGTCAAGAGGGTTAAAGTGAGAGATTAAGCGGAGAAAACGGAAGAATTTTCGTGTGCGGTTTTATTTGCGGTCGGATCTGGCGGTTCCGGGGTCAGCAGGTTAATTTTTGTGTCGACTCTCGAGTAATGAAAATTCCGTACGTGCGCAAGGGCGTGATTCGTTGGTGAACACGACTTCTGGTTCGGGATCAGAAGAAAGCAAGCCCAAGCCAGGAAGGGTACAAACATGCCAATTTAGGTGCTACGGTCCTTCGTTTAGGAGAAAGGATTTTGTTGCCGAAAAGGACGCCTGTGTACACAGTCAGTCACAAAACAGAACAGGAGGGAAAAAAGCACCAACCAGACACAGGTTCGTAGTTATTACATTCTTTAAATACTTCTCATGCTTTCCTTTCATTTCTCCATTAAGTCATGAATTATTTATAACGCAACGTTACGATTCTTCCACTCGGCATATTTTTCCGAGAGTTTTTCCTGGCGGCAGCAGTGCGTCGCCGTGGCCACTTTCTTGCTGTGTTTTTCTTTCCGTAGGTAGGTAGGTATTGTGGGTGGGGGTGGTAGGGATCACATTGAAGAAGGTGTCGATGATACGGTGGGCACTTGAAGTGGGTGCTGAAGGGGACGGGGAGGACTTATGGAAACGGTATTCTGCGTTGCGTTGGGCTCAATTTCGTTTCGTGGAAATATTTGCTTAGGTCCACGCTGGGCCTTGGCCGTGACTGGGTGGGTCTTGCGGTGGAGAAATGGCAACTGCGAATCAAAAGCCACCGACTGGAATGGTAAACAGCGAGATTCTGGACAGTGGTGTAGCAAGGGCTGTCTTTCTGCGATGTAGTATTCGTGGGTAGGTTTCGAGTGCCATTTTAAGCGAAGATAGTATCAATTAAATGCTTTTTTCCTCTATTCGGGACCTAACACCACTGCGACCAGTAATTTGATCTATTGTAGTATATCTCGTGTCTTTAGTTTAGTGCATGTCGTATTACTTCATCACTATTGAGAAATGATGAAGTATTCGATTTTTTACAGTAGTCATTCTTGCATTTATCGCAAGGATCCGAATCTAATTGAAAGGTCCCACTATTTATACCCTTTGGAGCGTTGAAACACCCACCAAAGGCGCACCCCTTTGTCAGTAAAAATTAGATTCCTTAGCAACAAAATTAAGGAATGACACCGATAATGACCATGCATCAGAACCCTAGTATTAACCACTTCAAACTAGGGAACAACTAATAGAAGATTAGGAATCACATAGATGAAGACTAACTCATTTTTTTCCCTTGTTTCAATATCATCCTCGGTAGACAAAGCCGAGTCTTGTTACTTTCAACAAGGCATAAAAAGTAACAAGGACTAAGATGTGTTCCTTGGATTACTGAAAAATTGTGTTCTCCTAGATTGAAGTAGTCAGGACTAGGAATCGGTGGTAGATCTTACATCCTGTAACGTACCACGAAAAGGTTATCTACCCACGTTACGGGGCAAGTAAACGCTTTAATATCAAGTGCTTCTTTGAATATTAGTTACTTTTGCGGCATTGCTCACGTTGTATTTGTATTATCTTTTGTACATAGACCTTGACATATACCTAAGTTTAAAAATTATCTAGCTAATTATTTACACATCAATCATTAAACAAAAAAAAAAAATAAGCAGTGTCTGCTTTCCTATTTTTCTTCTTATGAGTTATTATTCCGTATGGAGTTAAAGTATATATTATGCCGAGACATTGTAAAGTGAATGGTTTCGTAGTATTGATTGTAAGAGGCCATCATGCGGTTTAATGGCCCACATTTTGCATAATTTGTGCGATGATGGTTTATGGCAAATAAATTTCGATTTTGGAGTTAGGAGTTACCGAGTAGGTGAATAGAAATTTAATTTTGATAAAAGTTCTGTTGAGTCAATGCGCTGCGAAACGATATCGTGGCAAACGTTTTATTCTGACACTGTCAAATCGTACAAACTGTGAACATAAAATCTAGATTACTAAAGAAAACGGGTTTGTACTTTTTAATCCAGCATCGTCGGACTTTCGAGATTCGATAATGACAATCACAACCTAATCATAGCCAATGATATGCATTTAACCCTTATGTGAGCAAGGATTTTTTGCTTTTTCTACACCGTGTTATTCAAATAGGAGCAGGGTACCCGCCCCAAGTAACATTGCAAGTTTTATCGAGGTTTTAAAGTATTCTACAAGTTCAAATCGTGGTCTACAGAACCATTATATAAACAAAATTGTTACATGGGCAGATACTGCGTCTCGCACATAACGGTTACTACGAGGGATATGTTACAATTTACAATTTTTCTATGTTTGATGGTCGGATTGTGGGTCAAACTCAAAGTGTTTACATTTTCCGACCAATTTTAGCTTCTCGGGAAATGGGACACAGCTGATGAATCTTCGCAGGAATTCCCAGAAAACGGGAAATATTTTTGTTCAAAGTCTAGATAAATATGGGAAATGGCTCTAATGTTAGCCTATGGATCTAAGCTTGGGCCCATCGCTAAAAATCTGCTATTTTTCAACTTTATCTAGATGAACGCGTCATTGGGACGGTACTAATTGATATTTTTGGTCGCTATTGCAAATTTAGTCGATTGCTGAATTTATGTATGGGACAAATTAAGGGCATATAGGCCGACATTACATCCATTTCACCTAATAAGTTGAATTCATACCATCTATTCATCAGAATGTTTATTTATTTACTTCTGTATAGCGATTTATAATATAGAAAGTAGTTTAACCACTTAATTTTAATATTTTTACTTCTATTGGAAGTTTTACTTCCATCGGAAAACTTACCCTACTTCTTCTGGTTTTTGACGTAGAAAACGTCTTTCGGGAAGGTTACTTACCTTACCAATCAGGCTAAGGCCTTGTTGTCCTCTGCTGTCCGAAGAAGTCGTCTCCACTCTACTTGATCCATGGCCACAGTTCGCCAGCCTCGTAGTCTGCGAAGGGTCCGCAGGTCACCTTCTACTTGGTCGATCCACCTTGCCCGCTGCGCGCCTTTTCTTCTTGTTCCTGTTGGGTCGCTTTCTAGAACCATTTTCACTGGGTCGTCGTGCGGCATTCTTACGACGTGCCCAGCCCACCGTAGTCGCCCAATTTTTGCAATGTGGACGATGGATGGTTCTCCCAGCAGCTGGTGCAATTCGTGGTTCATTCGCCTCCTCCACGTTCCGTCATCCATCTGCACTCCACCGTAGATGGTACGCAACACCTTCCGTTCGAAAACACCAAGGGCGCGTTGGTCCTCCACGAGCATAGTCCAGGTCTCGTGGCCGTAAAGGACCACCGGTCTAATCAGCGTCGGGAAGGTACAGGGGGCAAATTTAAAATCTAAAATTGAAACCGTCTCGAAAATGTGTTAGGTTTTGAACGCTTATAACTTAGTTATTTATAGATTAAATTAAAATCTAAACACACCAATCGATAGGAAACATCTGTACAAATCTGTTAAATACTTTTCTAATTTTTCATAAAAAAAAAAACGTTTGAAAAACGTATAAATAAAAAGTAATATGTTTACAATAAACGTTTTCCCCAAACCCAGTCGTGATAATCGAGTAGCACTTGATTGCACATCGTTCTGCTTGAACCTGAAAAGAAGTATAAAAGAATGCTATTGTCGTTCCTCCGCTCTTTAATTAGGTAGGTTATCACTTTCGTACCGAAGTTCATTTTCGCATCGGAAAACGTATTGGACCGATTTCCTGAGCAACTAGCAGCAGCAGCAGTATCTCTGAAGGTAGGATGTGGAGCCTTCTGACTCGGATTGAATAATCGGTACTTCTCAGGACCATCAATTTTTACAGAAAGAATTATATTCCTGGGATAAATCAGCAGTATTGATCGATTTTCCGGTGGACTACAATATTATACTGGGGTGTCGCGTTCAAATATTACGAAACTCGGAAAATGTAATTTTGATAAAACAAAATATATGACGACAATCTAAAAAATCATTTTTGGACTTTTCCGTTAATGTTTTAGCCGCTTTACTACCACAGTGGGATTCTAGTTGTAAAAAATATCAATGCTCTGGGATTACATCCAATTGAGCTGACGTCTTCAGCTGAGTTTCTTGACTTTATTAGGACTATAATTTGATGGATAGAAATAGTTCAAGTTTTTGTCGCAAATATGGCGTAGCGATACCAAATTTTTTATTTAGCACGCTAGAGGATTACTGTCTTGAGCAATGTTGTAGAACGTAAAGTTTCTTGAAAAGTTGTTTTAGACATATTTGCTATAAATCTTCAAACAATAAAGATACAATGTTCGGAATTCTCGTTTTTCGTATTAATTCCAATAAATTCGTTCAAATGAATCCTTAGTTAAAAAGGTTAAGTGATGTTCTATTTTCTTCTAGCGATTGGGACCTGAGCACTAACTCTTGTCCTAGCCCTATATGGTACATGGTTATAGTGCCATTACTCGCTTTTTGAAAAGTTAAGAAGGAAAGGGAAGGAGAGGAAAAGGACTTGGAGTAGGAATTGAGCCTTTCCCTAACACCTCAGCCGTCTCAATATAAATTAATCTTCTTTCCTTTATTTAACGTCGGTCTCTGTTCCGCAATCTAGTACCAATCACCGACGGACATCGATTGCCATCCATTAACGGCAATCGAATGTGCAGGAAGGCAGCTTCTACACCTGCATAGGATATCGCACCCATTCAACACACATGGGCTGGGACCAACGGCTTTACTTCCCTTCCGAAGGAAGACGTGACCAGAGATTTTTATGCCTCAGAAAAATCCCACCGATCTCGGCTGGGATTGAACCCAGACCCATCGGGGTGTTAGAAAGAAGTCACGCTTACCACTACACGACCGGCGCCGGCTATCAATATATAAATGAATGATTTTCCATTATTATTTCCATCGTACTTATTGCCGTTGATGATTCATCAGTACCTAGTGAGTTTACCGACTTCTCGCTATCTGATGCTTTATTTCATAAGTATAACTTTGCAGCCTCTTTCTTCAAAGTATCTCTGTCATGTAGTATTCCTTCGAAGTCGGCTTTTGTCTTACCCTAATGACTGTAATTCTTTGTCCAATGTTACGAACCATGTATTGCATGGTCTGCAGAATCTTTTTGGACTTGATAATCGAAGGTTAAATGCTGCTTCTAGCAAATGATTTTCGTCTCTGAGTCAAGTTTTAAAAAGAAGATACCACGAACGTAATTGAACATGCAGGCCTAGCCCGTAGCTAATGTCGTTGCATTTGAAAGATTCGCTCACTATTTCTACGGTCACATATGTGCTGTAGGCGTATTAAGATTAATTTTACCGTTTTATTGCAATATATAATATAATAT